GGAATCCTCTCTAGCCCTGGTAATGTAGATTTGGTGAAAACCGGTTCTCTGTTTATTTTATCCATTCTTTTCCGTATTTTGTAAACCTTGATAAAATTATCCACTTCCACCTTCTTCCCTCTCATTTGAAGGGCTTCCACTGTTATAGTCTCTTCTTGTAAAGCAGCTGCTCCACACCTTGATCATCTGAGATACTCTTCTCTGCACTGTTAGGTTAAATGACCAACGACTAATAATGGTGAACACGAGGGTCAGAGGTTTTGCAGGTATTGCCTGCAAAATATTGCAGGTATTGCCTGCAATAACAGGCAAAGGAACCCCAGCAAGCTGATGAATGAAGATGAAAACAAACTTCCTACTGCCAAAACCATCCAAGGAGAATGACCAGATTATTGTCCCTGGGGTGAAACCCAGTGAGGTGATCAAGGGAAAAAACTCTTTCGCCTGAAATGTAATGGAAACTGAAGAGGTGTTTTCCTAAAAGGATGTGGGACTTGTTATGGTATACAAGGGGAAGAGGATTGTATTAAAATTGTTATGGGCTGTTTTAAGGGGATTGTGAGAATGTGCGAGACTTACTGGGATGTTTAGGGAAAGGACCAAAGGTGGGGAAAGGGAGGGATCAAGGTGAATCAGGGAGGAATGAAAGAACAGAGGGAAAAGGGCATTAAAAGGGCCAGTCAGTACTTCATACTCCCACTGCCATCTCCCGAAGTTTTTGTAGGCTCTCAATTTCTCCCTGCTTCGTTCACCCCCTCTCACCTCATTCTAGTAGCCAAATGTATCCCATTTGCACTTACTCTATGTACTTAATTTTCCTCTTCTTCACCACAGGCATTCCCTACCACAGATTTTCCCTTATTCTTTTAGCACCTCGGTGTCAGAAAAGTGTAAGGACCCAATTATATGGAAGAGTTTTCAGGGAGGAACTTAGAATAACTAAGCAAGCATAGGATGTTAAAACAGGGCTGAATGAAGCTGGGCAGTTGGCAAGGAGAAGATTTAATGGCTTCACTGCTGTGTTGTGATGTAGAGTGCCTCAAGACAGGCTCTGGTAATGGAGAAATGGTAATAAATTTTAGTGCTGTTCCCTTGATAGGGCTGTCTTGATGGAGGGTACATGGCAGAATAGAGACCATCCCAAACACTGGAGAAGGTGAACAATTTATTGGTAATTGTGTCAAGGAGAACACACACCTGAAGTATTTATGGACTGCAGGAGACAAACCTGACTCTGAATAGCTAGTAAAAGTCCCGTTGATTTTGCTAGGAATTTTGCCTCTGCAAGAACTAAATGATGAAGATTAAATATTTTCTATAATGATACCAGAACAAGCTAAAAATGAAGTTATTAGGAATTACTTTTCTGAATATCGTCAAATGCACTAATTCTGATTTAAATTGGTTCCTTATTTTGCATAAGAAATTTTAAAGAGTGGCTTAGCTTCATTTAGTCTTACATAAACGTTTTCCTTCATTTAGCACAACATACTGTACACTTTACCTGGAAGTAAAGCAGCCATATCTGGTTCACTATAACCACAACCTATTTTAAGATAACTTAGTTTATATTTAGATTTTTATGCAAACTGGAGCAGTATCTATGACTCATGTCTCCCCAGCTTCAGAAACCGTATGTAAATATACATAAAAAGAAACAAAAAAAGACAAAACAACTATATCTTCTGTCGCATCATCTTTATTGGAAGTAGCTCTGATCTTTTTTATAAGTTTATAGTGTTTGGTTCACTGACCATTTTAATTTTAAAACCTCTGAAAACTTATTATTCATACTTAATAAATTAGCCTCAGCACACTCATTCAAATGTTACATTCAATCTAAGGAAAAGTTCAAAGATGCAAAAGCTGAACCCTGATGTAACTGAATTCAATGAGGTTTTTTTAAGGAGTCCAACAACTCACCAAAAGAAATTATTTTGCCATCAGCAACAGAGCATGCTGATGGGATCAAAAAATCCTGACGCTACTCAAAAAATTAGTGGCAGTGACCAGACATTGCCAGACAATTACACTGACTATGGCAGACTGCATTCTCCAGTCTGGAGAACGGTGGATTCATCATGTTTTCAAAAATCTGTCTTTTTGTTTTGTTTTGTTCTTTTAAATGATTCTTTTAATGCCTTTTCAAGAACATCAGCTTAAATTAAATTAGTCTGAATTTCAGAAATGCTTAACATAACATTTCATGTTATCAAGGGATGGCACTAAAAACTATGGATGTAGCAGAAGAGGACATGAGATCATCATCTACAAATGAAGCCACAGAGTCCACAGTCAGATTTAGTTATTTGGATGTTTTTTTGGTGACAATTTCTAGAACACATTTTTGCCTACTGATTCATGGAAAACTAAGAACATGACGAATAAGTGAAGCAATGAAACATTCTTGCTACTGACACAGGATGAAATAACCTAAGTTTTTGAATTTTAGGAGCACTTGCAACCGTGCAGTTTAAGCTGGTTTAAGTTAAACTGCCCCTTGACGCCATTCTTCTTCCTATCCTTCCTGCTGGCCTATGTCTGTGGCTGTCAGGTGAATCAGACCAGTGTAAGGATCTGGCTGAGTCATTCTTTTCCTTGCGTTACTTTTCAACAGGATCCAGCTCCCTGGTCTGATTAACTGCACAGCTTTAAACACTTGCAGAACTGAGAGAACAGAGAGGAGCGGCCAAAGGGAGGGCCTGCTTACAGTAAATGCTGCTGTCAACAGGAATATACATTAAACCACAGCCAGCACAGCCCTGGCTCTCACTTCCTGGGCACTGACTGTTGGTACCACTTCTTGGGAATAGTTTTCTGGGATCTGGCTACCCCAAGTAAACTTGACTTTAGATTCCTCAAGTCCCTTCAACAATTTTTGAGTATGTCTCCAGAGTTTCAGTCCTGTGTCTCCAAATGCATACACATATTAATTTCCCTTGATTTTGTTTTATACATGCCATATGAATAGCTATAAATGGCTTCTTCCAAGGAGTGTCTTCCTTCACCGCTTTTCAGTTTTCAGTTATCAAGGGCCAGGTTCTGCTCTCTGTGCCATGCTTTGTTACCACTGAAGCTGTTTATGTTCCTCTGTGTCAAAGGATTGGCTTCTATGACCAGCTGTAAACAATTAGTCCAACTATTTGACCAGAATTTAACAAAGTTGGAGACTGAATTAAATTCTCCAGACTGTCCAAGTAAGGGAGCAGCAGGGCTGATTTTGGAGAACACAATTTAATTCGATGAAACCCAATGTCATTCTTTTCAATGGATACATACAGGGGTTGCTTGGAGTACTTACAGTCTTAGCTTTGTCCTAAGTAGTAAGTTTGAGCACACTTTAAGAGTAGGTAGTGGACAACACATAAGACCATTTCTTTACCATTGCACTTACATTAATCTGTTCCATTAGAAAAAATATTTAATTAAATTTTATGAGTCCTGACAGCAAAGTGCAGGTAATATTCTGAATTGACTTATCCCTGATATGACTTCTAAAAGATTTTATTTCTTTCATTTATAGAAATGTACATGCTAATGCATTGACAACCACACTTTTCCTGTTCTGTTAGAAATGTCTCAGATACACATTGCAGATTAATTTCCTGTGTTTTAGAGAGTGTTTGCCTCTGTCATGCATTACTGGTTTGATACACAATGCTACTCATATCTCTTCAATGTATATCATACAGGCCACCATGTGCCCGGCTATTTTCACAGTACTACATTAAGTGCAAATAACAAGGCCAACTTTTAAGTTGCAATAATTAAATGGAGTTACAACCGGGAAAATACAAAATGTAGCATTGCTGTAGCTATTTAATTTGGTTATTTATGCTCAGTGTACGAGTCCACAAATGTACAACAGAATCATTAGCTGCAGAATTGTTAGCACCACGTATTACGTATTTTTTACACATATATTGTTTTCCTGTTCGTTTTAATACCAGAACCATTACCAATTACAATTCTCATTCACATGATCCCAGCAATAGGTAGCATCATCAGTCCATGTCATAGTCAACTCATGCAGGGAGACTGGCAAAAACATTCCTAATGCTGGGTGAAAATATTAACTACTGCATAACATTTAAAAATAGATACTAAAAAATGAATTATTCATTTAAAACATTCAGCCAGACCTATGCAACATAAGAAAAGTGAGGTTTAATTAGCTTATATGCAAATTTTTGTTAAAGGAAATGCATTCAGAAGCCATTTTACATTAAAATCTCACCAAATCAATGTCAAGATGCAAATGTCTATTTTTAATGTTTTTATACCAGTCACACAATTGTGCTGGCCATAGAGTAAACAGTAAAACACATTTACTCTATTTAACCCAATGGAATAATTTGTGCAAATAAAGTTTAGCACATGTCAAGGGCTACAGGCTTAGGTCAAAAACATGGAAAATTTCCAGCATCAGAAACAAAAGAACGTGTTCATGGAATAAAAGATGGGAAATGTTTTATCGTTTTATGTAAACAGAGACACACCTAGTCCTGTATAAGATGGAGATCTGAGTCTAAAATTTCTTTTTTTAGACCGTGCCCAAGCCTCAGGAGAGATTTACCTTGTAAAGTGCCCTGCAATTCTGCTTGCCCAATTGTCTATGATCAAGCCCTGGTGGGAATACACAGTTTCTGTCTAGCTCATGTGCCAAGGTCCCTGTTCTGCAGAGTGAAACATAGGATGCAGGCGATAAGGTGGAATAAGATGAAAACTACTCTAGTTGTAGTCCCATTATAATACTGAGATTAAACAAAGAAACAAACATGGCTGTGAGAAGTGGAAAGCATTCCTGGGTTCTGTGGTGTAATTATTTACTTTCTATGGTCATCTGAAGAAATGATTTATGATTGCTTTTGCCTATGAAAGAATTACGATTGAGGCAGTGAAGCCCTTGGATTTTAAAAGCAGTGAGTCAGATGAAAGAAATTATCAAATACCAGAACACCGAATAGATTAAAGCATAAAATGAATGTTTCCACTTTCTCTACCCCAAACTCTTAAAGTTAAAATGAAAAGTAAAAAAGAAACATCTATGGAAAATATAAAACCAGTGCTCATGAGTGAATATTTCATGTCCTTGAGCATCTTTACATATATAGAAATGTCCATATTTAATCTACAGTCTGGAAGTCATGCTGGTTTGATTGGTTTGTGTGTTAGCTTCCCAACCACATCTGATCTTTTTTATCCTCTTCCTAAAACATGGGAGAAGCAGTATGCATTTACAAAGCAGAACGACAATAGGAAGAAAAACTGCTATCATAAATGAAGGTGGCGTATACCAGATAAATTGGTTAACGTCAACCCACTTATTCCAAGCAAACACCAGTGCATGAACAGTGCATAGCAGCAGAGTTAAATATCCCATCTTGCTCTGAAAAGAGAAAGAAAATACTAAGCTTTTTATTTTTTCCAACTTGACAAAAAGAGTAGTCTGTTAAGCAAATATGGAAATCAGGAAGGAACTCAACCAACACAGTTAAGTGAAAGAAAATAAACCATTGGCTTTGAACTAAAATTTAAGAACTGTAATTCAAGAATCCAACTGTACCCCTCTATGCCACTGTAAGAAACAAATGAGGCACATTTTCAAGTATTGCTATGATACTTAGCTAATATACAGAAGAGATTACAGATTACAGGTTATTCCTGAAAAAGGGTCAGTTCTTAATATCTCAATTTATAGATTGCAGCCATATCCTAAATTACTTTATTTCTGTGATAAATTATTAAGAGTTTAAAAGCAGATTTATGAATGGCTTAATTGATTATTTGCAAAGAAAAAATCTAAGGTCAATTAAAATCAGAAACTCTTGTAAATCTAGTACTATGACAAAAGCAATTGCACAACTACAGGAAATGGAAGTCTTTCATTTCACTTACAGTAATAAATCTGGCTTAGGAAGTCTATGAAATTCAGGAGTAAAGGAAATTTTATGCTAGAGTTACTGGTAATTTTGGATTTCTTCTTGCATAACAAACTTGATACTGCTGGGAAAATGGAATTACTCGTCAGTGAAGTCAAACACTGCTTTTCCAACTGCTAAACCTACAGAATCTGACTTAACAGTATAAAGGATATTTGTTTATAAAACAAGTCCAATATAGTAGTATTACTCTTCTGGGTTTGTTCACCATACTAATTTAATACTGAAAGCAGTCATGCCCTTGGAGACTCCCTCCTAGACCTGTCCATATATATACTCTGTAGAGCTGAAAACTTTTCTTAAAAATTATTCAGAATATACCTTTTTGGAGGGGGCTATGAAGCTAATAATGCTACAGATGGAAAACCTTTGCATATGTCATTGGGCAGAAGTCTTCTCCTGGACTTTCCAGCTACCTGGTACTGCTCAGGCAGTAAAGAATTGCCAAAACAGCTTCAAGGGAGCAACAAGCAATTCTCCTTTTGTAGTGCTGTATGTGAACAACACTGGCTGGTTCAATATCATCTACTCCCAATTCAGCACGACACAGGGCATTCCTTAAACATAAGGTGCTCC